ACACACCAATATCATTACAGATAATAAATTCTGTTCTGCAGTCTCTCCAATGAAGAGTTTTCAAGTGATGATTAACCAACAAGCCAAGTGTTCAGCTGCAATCTCAGCCCATTTTGAACAGATTCTGCCCAAGGCACACTAAAGCAGAAGATTAACCCACCCCCCCCTCCCCAAATGGATTGAAAACCCGGTAAAATTACCATCTTCCAAATCATTATGGCAATAAGTAATATCTACACATACACAATATATATACACATATATAGAAAGGAAAAAAAAAAAAAACCCTCAGACAATCCTTCTCCAGAGGATTACTTCAACATTTTGACTTCAGAGAGATTGAAACTGATTCTCCTAAGCAAGCAGCTTTAACCTAAATCAGAACTCACCTCTCTACCAATCAGAAAGAAGCTTTTTCAGAAACTTATACTTCCTAATAGTTATATGGGCCTTAATCCTCTTGGAAACAGTTTTAGGTCATTATTCCAGGAGTTATTAGGTTGGAAAACAGCTTCTAGGCAAATGATGCTATTCACAAACCTTTTACACCAGAAATAATGGTTGGATTATTTCTGCCTCAAAAGTAGTCTTGAGGTCTGATTTCTGATTTTCTTTATATCTGATGCTCCTGAGGAAAAAAAAAAACACCACAGCTACTTGCTGTTAAATACTAATAATAATGATGGACGTTTTAATTATGAAAAAGTAATTTTATAAGGATTATAGTGGCAGCAATGAGATCAAGTTTGGATTTTAAGTGGAAGCAAAAAATAATGGTTTATCGATGGACTTCCAATGCTCTTTTATGCTTCCAAGAGCACCTGAAAGATTTGGTGTTTCCCCAGAATTCCAGTTTCTAAGGGCTTTCACAGATCTTCATTTTTAGCTTAATATCTTCTAAAGTATTATTTCTTTTTTTCCCCACATCCATTGGTGTCTCACAACAGTAGAGGAAAATAAAGAAGTGTATTGAAGTGTGCTCCTTGTGCAGCAGTTGAGGGAAGGGTGACCAGACATCCCTCAGTATGGGAGTACCCCCATTTCCAGGACTTCTGAGAGCACCTGCCATTTCCACCAAAACTTATGCTTCACCTTCAGCTGCCAGTGCTCTGCAGAGCAGGCTGACCACAGACTCATCAGGCAGCTGAGATAATAGAACCAGCACCAGGTCATCAAAATACTCCTGTATTTGAAAACACAGGATTATGTATTCCCTTTTTTTTTTCTATCCTTGAACACAGGGATTAGATGGGAAATGAGGAATTTAGTACCTCCAACCCCAGACAGTTTCCTTCTTGTTTTTCAAAAAAAAAAAAAAAAAAAAAAATTACCATTATGTAACAAATGAATTTTCAGCAAGAAGAGACAGATATTTAAAAACATCATTAATGACAGAAGCCAGCCCTTTCCTCTTATTACATTTCTCTCAACACTTATACATACAACAACAAGATGACAACCCATCACAGAGCTAGATCAGGCTGGCTTAGCAGTCCTGCCACCAGTCACTACCACTGTGCAGGTCTAGATCTCTAAAATGCATCTAATGGAGACCATGGAGTTGGTGCACATCCAAAGCAGCCCCAGGAACTGGGATCCCACAGCACTGTGAGCGCTCCCACAAGCCCTTCCCTCATCTCCTCTCTCTGTTGTTCAGTATTGGTGAAGTCTACACAGACACCCTAAGAGTCCAGCCCAAAGGCTGTTTTATCTCCAAAAGGCTCTCCTGAACAGTTGACTGCTTCTCCAATTCATAGTGAAAGTCAAATGTAGGAAAAAAAAAAAAACAACCACACCAAAACAACCAAAATCCCCCAAACACATACTGACAAGTTCATATAAATTAATCTGTGCTACATTGCAAACTTGGCTTCCTTCAAGAAGATCAAATACTAAAATTTCAGTGGCAATTTTTGCCTGAATAAGAACTTCAGGAACTTAGCCCATTACTTTTATATATAACTGTTTATGCACATGAAGTACCCATAATCTTCCTTTTCTCGAAGAAAACAACAGAGCTAATAGAAGCCTGCTTGCTGTACATGAGTTATTGTAAATTTTCACCTATTAGTTCTTACCTAGAAGATGGCAATTCTATTCTTTGCAGAAAGGCATCACAGTTGGAGATAAAACTTTAGCAGCACAAACACAGCAGTAGCATCACTGGCTAAATGCTTCACTGAGGAAGTGATACCACAGAATCTGGTGGCCAAAGGATTCTGTGGTATCGCTTTCTGAAGTATATTAAAAATGTATTAATTTGCCTACGTGACAACTTCATCATCATTGTTTGGGAAAAATCCCAAAACCTACACGAAAGGCCTTCTGAGGTAATAGAAAACTAAAAAGACATAACATAATTAAAAAGAAGAAAAGAAAAAGAATTGTTGCATTTGTTCTCCTTAGTTATATTAAGAATAAAAAACGAAACTAATGTAATAATGTATCCCAGCAGTTCAAATCTTCTAATTTATGTAGAATGGATTATTACTTAGACAATCTGACCCTGGGCAAAACTTCCTCAGTTGAGAAGATTTACAATCTAATTATGCAGGAAGTTCTGCTGAGACAGTTTGGGTGCAATGGTCTTCTATTACATTAGCTTAGCTAAAATTGCTGCTTCTTCGCTTGCTTGGTGTTCCAAGTACTCACATGAAAACAGAAAATCCCTCATTCGCATCCTTTATTTCCCTTTAGTTTTTCTCACCATTACTGTGTGCAGAAGCACTCGTTCTCAACTGCAAATAGCAGCAAGGGGCTGAGGTTGTTAATAGCAAACTGCAAGTTGCCTTTCAGGCTTTTGATTTGGCCCCTGTTTAGTGAACTGACTTTAAAAAGGACCATCAAAGTGCTTTTCATAATTTTTACAATGATAGTTGCTGGGTTATTGCTCCCCTCCCTTATTGCAAGTGCCCCTGAAAAAAAAGCCTGGAGCTGAAATCTGTTCCTGTATACTTTCTTTTTCATCCTGCACGCACAAATCTAGTTTATTTTTGTAGGGTGGCTCAGAGATGTTTTGCTGCTGTCTCAGACACCTGAATATTTTTAGTAATCTACTTCATTACATTAAAAAAAAAAAATATCCCTCAACACATACAAAAATAGCGAGGGCTTTATAAGTCTGTAGAGGAAACGATGGAAAACTTGAGTCTAACGTAATTCAAAGTATCTTTTTTTTTCCCCTAGATATAGTACAGTGTATCAATACAGCTGAATATACAGACCTCCTATATTAACATAGATGGAGAAATCAGTGCCTTTTTTTCTTTACAGTAAGTGTTTTGATTTCAAAGGGTCAGTGGATCATGTCAAGGCCCTCGGTCTTGATAATTACCATGTGTAGTAATGCACATTTTTATCTACAGGTGGCAGACCTTTTAAAATCATCTTCAAATTCATTAGACATATTCGTTGATACCACCACCCACATTAAAAAGTAAGAATCTGCAGCATAAACTTCTAATTAATGCTGTTCAATTTACAGGACAGATTTGTCAACAAAGTGGCTCAATTCTCAAAGGCTACTGACCCCTCTCAGAATGAAAGCCTTAAAAAATAATATTTTAAAAAAATAAAGCAGTTGCTCAGTACATGGTAAGCTTTTATTATTTAAAAATCATCCAGCAACTCAGCAAAGGATTTTTTTTCTTTCTCTAAAACAGAAGTTTCACTTCCTTGATTATTAAGCCCTGCTTGGTATATTAGTGATTTCTTCTTTGATAAGCTTATTCAGAAGGGGAAAAGATGAGAATGTCACAACTGACACTGGCATTTAGATAGAGGAAAGTGAATCATAAAACTTACTCGTATCTGAATCAATCATGTTAAAATACCATGACTTAGACTGTCATCTCGTATGCGTGTCTAAGGCCTCACTACGAAGCAGAAAGGCATTGATTTACACCAGAATATTATCAATAAATTACATAATCCTGCATTCAAATTTCATTAGATAATTCCCCATATAACAGTGGAATAGCACTCTGCATGTGGACAAAGTCATTCTGAAATCAGGAAGGCTGGCTCAGGGTTTCATCTCAGCAGTTTCATCAACTGCTCTGGTTTCTGTTGCCTTCCACACTTTTTTCTCATTTCCACCCATGAAAACCAGACCTGTCACTGTGGCTGCACTCCTTGCAGAGGCACAGGAAACATAAGTATGATGGCAACCAGGTCAAGCTGGGTGACACCTAACCCTAGGACAAACTCATCACACTCAGTAGTGACACACTCAACTCTAGTTCCTAAAGTCCACAATAACAAGATAAAAACAACGCTACCAAAAGGAGTTTCTTGTCTTTGAAACCTTAATTCTACAAACATTTATTATTCATGGCAGTCAGGCTAAGCATAAAAACTACAGGATCAAGAAGACATCACATCTGTGAGATTGCCTGTGTCTGAGTCTCCTGCCAGGCCAACAACATTTAACCAGATTATTCCCTATCTACTCTCCCTAACTGCAAGAAATGTAATTTTAAAATATTTGTAAAAATTTAGTACCTTGGATATACATACTTACACATCAACGCTACTAAAATATTGCACATATATTCACAAGTTTACAGTAATTAAGGGAATATTCTTTATCTTGCCAGTAACTTTTAAAGGGAAAAAGAAAACCAAAACAAAAACCCCCAAAAGAAAACAACATCCCAGCCTCAAAAAAATCTTTTAAATTTACCTTATTTGGTGTTTTGAATAGATTGAAATAGAACTGCACAGCAGTTTGAATGAGTAACAGGAAGTATAGACAAAACATTTAGACTGGGAATACACACTCTGGAGAACACTCTTATTTACTTGCTGGTACACCCACTCCTCCCCCTCCTCCCAGTCCAAAAGAGTGGGTGAGAAAAACTGTGTACACTAATGTCTTTTGTGGTAACCTAGTAACCTTCTCCTTTTTCTCTATAAGCTCTTCCTTCATACCCCACTCTTCCATATTGCCACGCTCCAGAGTAATTGCAGTATGTCTTTATATGGCTTTGTTTTCCTACCCAATGCAGAGGAGTTGGGGTTATTTTCAGTCTTCGAAAGCTTGTAAACAGGATCAAACAGGAACCCGGTCATCAGCAAGAGGAAGGCTAGAAAAATAAAAGCAAAATGCATATCAACGATTTTATTTTAAAAAAGAAAATAATCCAAAACATGAAACAAAAGCCTGGGCTCTGCTAGACATCCCCCTCCCCGTTCCTTTTCATTTAGTTCATGAACTCTTTTTTGCAGAACAGAGGCTGGTGTAAATTAATGTGTGACCCAAAATATATCACATGGAAAAGCTGCCATAGAAATATGTAATAGCAAAAAAAAAAAAAAAAAAAAAAAAGTAGACATTACTAGAACTAAAGTGGCACCTCTTATCACGATAAATCAATACAGAGATTGAACCGGGAGGAAGATGTGACTACATATTCCTGTTGCTCTTGAGTGTTTAAACAGCTCACCTACACTCACTGTTTTTACATCCCCAACCCAACATGCTCGCATGGTTAGTGGTGCGAGGACAGCCCCGGGACTGAGAGGTCCTCTGCATTTGCCTCTGCTCCCAGCTGACACCTTGTGAGTAGGAGGGTTACTCACACATTTACTCCATAAGATACTGCCTCTAGGGTCTTGAGCTGCACTTCAGCTTCCTGCACGGGTGACAGCGTGGCACCTCCCCCAGGTATGACAGAGCCCAGAACTGCCATGTCTCACATCACTCAGCACGACTTCCCAAACCCCACCTGGTCCCTCTGCAGTTCGGGAGTGTGATGCACCCCAGATCTCTTGGGCACCTGTCGCAGTTCTGGCTACTGCTGTGTTACCCCAAGCCTTCAGCAGAGAAGGGAAAAGCATTTTGTGGCACAAATGTACAAGTGTGGGAGGCAGGAGGTGGGAGCTGGGACTCCTCTGCATCCACTGCTGCATGGAACAGCACAGGTGGGCTGTCCAACCCAGGTGGCCCTGCCTAGCCATAGGATTCCCGTTACTAGCTTTGTGCCTCAGTCTACCTGGTTGCAAAAGTAGCAAAGCAAGTCTTCTGTGGCCCAAAGTGCACAGCAAAGCAGTGATTTGAAAACAAAAAAAACCTCTAGTACTACTGTTATTTTGCTGGATCACATGAGCATGGTTGCAGACGCAAGTCTGAGACCATACTTGTGACGTGACACATCAAGTTCACAGAAGCCAAAGTTCATCTCATGTGTGGCCATCCTTTCAGTCAGGTTTTGCATCCCTAAGCTTTGCTGCAGTCTATTAATATCAACCTAGTCTAACCAAAACAAATCATTTGTAGTATGAAATATATGTATGAATAAAGAGGAATTTCTTTTATTTTTAAACACCAAAACACACAGACACACACACACACAACCCAATTCTGAAATCAGCAACCTCGATATATAAAACCAGGCACTTTTTCCTACTGGTTTAACTTGATGGAATTACTTTGCCAGCCCTACAGCTGAGAGAGCTCCATGAAAAGCAGCAGCACGTAAGACACTACCAAGAGCAGGTTGGCGCACGAGGTTTCAAAAGACAACCATCCCTGGTTCATACTGAGCTCTGCATGCAGGCAAACTTTCTGAAGACGCACCTCAATTTCCTATATTATGCAATTAGACAAACAAACAGAAATGTGTTCTCTATATTTTGTATAGAAATTTCCTCAATCATGAATTTCTGCCCTTAGAAAAATTAATATCTCTATGGGCTTTTCAAATAAATCTGTTGAAGAAGAGAGGGAAAAAGTCAGTCTTCAGTGATGATAATCAAAATTTCCCCTTACAAAGACAGGTCCTGCAGATCTTGACCTATCAGACTAACCAGTTACCAGCATCACAAAGAACAAAAAAAAAATCAATTGCTTAACTAATATTATTTGGTTATCACATTAAGCATTCATCAACTGAACAGCATAATATAGAATTTGTCCTTTATCTTCCCTCCCTAACCTGCACAGTATTAATACAGCAGACATGCACCAGGAGCTGAGAAAAGCACAAGCCCCACTCAAGTCACTCCTACTTAGGGTGAGATCCTGAGGACAATGAAGGCAGCTCACAGAACACCCAGACCTGTAACATTTGTTTACAGAATAGTCCCTGTTATGTTTCTGTCTTTCCCAACAACCTGGAAGCAAGGCACAGGGCTACTCCCTGTCTTCTTCATAATGGCAGAATACAAGAAAAAGGTAGTATTCATTTTGCTCATTCTTGTGTTTTCTGCTACTAACTTTCATCAGCGATACTTGCTTGTCCTTGTCTTGTCTCTGACCTATCTTCTCCCTTAACCAACCCCTCTTTGCAAAATTTGTTTTCCATGAAACTTGATATTTCTATGGTTTTGAAGCTTTGCTTTTATTACTCTGTACTTAATTATCTTTCACAGCCAGGCCTAGGCAGGCACAGATATGACAAAAATATGTAGTAATAACAACAGTAGTAATAATTTTAATAATAACCTGAGTTAGAATCTCAGCTGGATTCAGGTTAGTTTACAACACTGACCCTCAGTTTATTCCCATACAACAGACTTAAGCATTTTCTAATTGTTAATTTTATCTACATAAAACTATCTAGCTAGTGTCAAGCACACTTCAAAAAGGTTGTTTTATGACTGTTAGAAAAGGAAAAGCAAAAGTGAAGCTATAAACTGGCTACAAGCTTTGACATGTAGAAGATTTACTTTTTCAGGAGCAGAGCTGGAGATAATCTGTATGGAAAAAGACCCTTTGAAAAAAAAAGCAGATCTACACAAAGCTTAATCATTTTGTTGAAGTAAAAAGAAAAATGCATTTCTAAAGGTAAAATACCACCTAATTCAACTGTTCATTAACAAGTCAGTGAAGCAATCCTCAAACATTAATAGAGACTTCTGAAATTGTGGTTCTTGGCTACAGTTTCAAGTGGAGTGACAGAACTGGTAAAAAAAGGGGCCTGTTGCCACGTGAAGAAACCTAGATCCTACTCTGCAGCTAAATTCACTTCCATATTAACTGTAGTTTCCATAGGATGTACCTAAGAAAATGTATACTTTTAAGCTATTTCTTTGACTTTCTCTCTATTTCCATAACACGATCTACAATGTTTTTGTTTCTACAGCAACATGGTTGGGGATCATTATTTGGGAGGACTGCAAGGGCACGATTCCAGAAACAGGCAAGAGCTCTATGCACAGGAATTAAACGTATGGAAAAGCACAATTAGGAAACTGAACCAACCCTTTCCAAAAACACCTAATAAGAGAGAAAATTTTAGGTATGGAATATTGAACTGTAGCACACATCCTTACAAAGACTTTCACAACATTATTATAGAAAGTAATACATCATATACTGTATAATATCTCCCATGGTAAGTATTATGTATTGTAATATATTTCAGTAAAGTGATTTTTTTTTTTTAATGTTGCCCAAATTTTAATAGTGGTGAAATCAGATCAACAGCCTTGAGAAGACTGAAGTCCTGCCTCTGACCACAACCTCCACACCATCATATCCAGACACTCCTCCCTCAAAAAGCTTCCACTGATGCAATCTGCAAGTTCCATTGTCCTGTTCAACCCTTTGCCTCTTTGCTGAGGCCACCAGGAAGATGTCACTCAGTGACAAACAGCTTGTGATACATTTTTAGGAAGCAAACAGAGCAAAGTCCCAAAATTACTCTGATCAGCCCCTCCTCAGCACAAAAATACCATCAGGACTTTCTGAAGGCACAAGGCAGAAGGGTGGGCAAAGGCCAACCTCCGTCTTCTGAGGGTGGGCAGTCCCACAGTGGTGGTGGGTGGGATCTCATCTCACCTCGCCAGGCTGGGTGGGTACATAAAACTATCTCAGTCTAACAGTCTTTGCTAAATAAAATACTGCCATCACAATCATCTGCTGGATATTCCCCAGGGATTAAAAAAAACCCAAAATAATCAAACACCCCAGTTCACCACACAGTGGGCACAGAAAATGCAACCATTTACAGTCACTGTGACTCACAGCTCTCCACATTTCACCTGTGGGGTGGCTGAAGCTGCTTCCAGCCATGCACAGTGCAGTACACTCTGGAGAGCACAATGAGAGAAACAGGGAAACATGAGGTTTTGTGCATACACTTTCATTTTCACAAGAACTTCTTGAGGCTTTTGGCTGCTAGTTTTTAACTCTTCAAGTCTTCAATCCACCCATTAAGGTTGAGGTGAATTAGTGGAGTGGTATAAAGAAAACTGTGTTGCTACATCTTCTGCAGATGAGGTCTTCAGTGCCTTGGGGTAATAACCTAGCAAATTCTTATCCACTCTTAAACAATTGAATGTATACAAGAAAAAAAGCATAACTGTTTTCAAAAACCTGTTATCTTCAGAAAGGACTCTACCTCCTTCTTTCAGACTATGACTTTTCATTTCAAAGCCAAAATCTAATCCATGTCATGGCCCTTCAGAACACTGCTGTTGACAGCATGCACTAGGAAGAATCACAGGCTGGCTCTGCATGTTTTTCCCACTCCAAAGCAATCAAAACTAGTCTAAACAGAGTGGGCTTGGGGGATGGTTTGGGGTTGTTTGGGAGTTTTTTTCTGTTGTTGAGTTGTTTTTAAAGTCATTTTCCTGTTAGAGAAATACCAGCTGGCTTGTGCATGATTACCTCCTCAGTATCTACCTGTTCATATGGCTGAGCTGTAAGAGAAAAGTCGGGAGGGGTAGCGGGTTTTGTTGAGTATTTTTTTCTTTTCTCTTTCTCTCTCTTTTTTTTTTAATCTATTTGCCAACCAGAGTCATTTATCCCCTATTAGATAAAGTATAATAGACTATACCGAAAGGGTCACTGGCCTTCCATTTAATGATATTGCCGGCACCAATCTACATTTTCCCGACAGTGTCCCTCAACACAGAATAAATGGCTGATCTCTTCACAATAACAGCTGATTTCTCTTTATTAAGCTAAAAAGGTCACCATTTTCTACGGCTGGGCCGCCCTGCACTATTGATAATTTTATGCATAAACAAATGGCAAATTTGTGCCACATAAATATGCATTAGCAATTACTTTTTCCTCGGGCAACGCTCGCCGCATGCAAATGTGTCCCT